TAGTTTCATGGACTTGCTTCTTTGCCTACATCCGTCCTTGATGTGGGAACCCTTGCCTATTTAACAATGCACCCAGGCGCCAGTGTAGTGGCCCTTGCACACTTGTCACTGTATTCAGGCCATACAGCGCGTCGCTTCCAGGGGACGCCCTAGCATTAACACAATTTCTTAAAGATTGAAGTATAAGATATATAAAGAATTTTTTTAAGGAGCATGATGTTTAATTAAATTAGGAAAATAAACATAGTATTATAGAGGCAAATGCCATTTCTTTTTGTTCACTGATATCTTCAAATTATAATTTCATGAATGATAATGCCTCCATTTTGATAACATTCAGATGTTACATTATTTGATTGCTTGAATATAATACAAGAAAAAAGAATCATTATTATCTTTGATCTTTCTGAATCACTTCGCATTTCTTAAATAAAAAATAACATGAAATAGCTATATTATTGATAGAAAACATTGCTATCCACTACAGAAATAGAGGAATAAATCCACTTTGCTTTGTGCCTTGTCCCTCTTCAAACCTCAAAGTTGCCATGCCAAAGTTGAAAGTAGACATAGTTGTAGGATCACCTTCCTTGGGTTCAGGCTTTGTTTCCATCGTCCAGCTAATGAGACATTCGGCACGCTCTGTCAATATTTCAGGCATCGGGTCTTCATCATCATAGTTTTTCATCTTTAAATGCTTCAGATTTGGAAATCCTCTATGTTGCAGGGAAGACAGTAGCAGCTTATCGTCAACATTCATAATGAGATTTTCAACTAATGAAAAAACTGAGGGTAAAGCTTTTAGCTTTGGGCAGTTCAGCAGAGTTAGTGTGTGAAGGAGAGGGAGAAATCTCTCTCCTCCTGCACTCAGCGGCCGAGCTACCTTGGGGGCCCTCGGGGCACGGCCCCCACTGAATTTTTATTAATGTCTAAGTAAATACCATGATTGCTGCAGTTTTTTAGGTAACTTTTGGTAAGAAAATAAATGTGGTTTTATTTTAGGCAAGCAGAACTGCAGAAGGCGGGCAGACAGGAAAAAAAAAAAGAGCCGCAGGCTGCGTCCGAAGCAAGTTTGAGAGGGGAAAAGAAACGTCGTTGCCCGTTGCTTTCTTCTTCACCGTCGGCGTCGCTGCATTCTTCTTCACCGTGGATCGACGGCTTGCGACGGGGATGGCAGATTGGCGGGTAATATTCTTCTCCTTATGACTTATGAGTTCTAATGTTTTTAGATTCAGAAATCAAAAGGTAATACCAGTTACCTTCGGTAGTTCAGTGATTTTCTGTCAAGCAGCTTTTTGAAAAATGATGTATTCAGAGAAATTAGAAATATATTGTAATGATTCTGTGAGAAAACTACAATTAGAGATTTTTTTTCTGATAATTGTTTGCTACATCTTTGTTAAGGTAAATGTTGTAATTTTTTCATTCAGACACATTTGACATTTCCATAAGCAACGGATTGCAAGTGCTCTACTGTTTTGTTACCTTTGTAGCAGTTGAAAGGTAATTTTTATTAGTTATTTATCTTTTATTTAGCATATATTCTTTTTTTTTTATTACAAATATAAAGTTTTTAATCTAGTTTTAATTAAAATTAGATATGGAAAGATAGTTCAAAAGAAAATTTGAAGGAGATGATCGGGAAATTATATGTGAGGAAAATAATATACAATTCAACAAAGCTCCGCATAAACAAATTTTTTTGATATCCCTGCCGATCCTGCATTGAGAAAAAAAATTATGGATTATCACCCTAATGAGAGGGATAGTGTTCGGAGACATTACTTACTGAAAGGGCCGTGTC